GAAAAGAACGGCCCCCCCCGGATTTTCCCGGGGAAAAGGGGGGTTTAAAGGGTTGGGCTCGGGGGGGTTTGGTTTTACCGGGGTTTTTTCCCCGCCCCCCAGGTTTGGTTTTTTATGGTGGGGGGTTTTTCCCGGGGACCCCCCCCCCCCCCCCCCCCCGGCGTATCCAGTATTCGGTCTGAAAAATCTGTGATGGCGCTGGCGATCTGTCTACGTGGGATGGGGGGTGGCAGGCGTTCTTGTAGCTGTAGTTTCTGTCAGCCGTGTATGATAACAGTTTTTGTAGTGTTTTATTTTTATTTTTTTTGTTTATTGTGCATGTACGCATGCTTACATCCAAACCTTTCAGGAAAAGGCGAAGGCACCTGCTCGACCTCCATCTGTTTCTACGCTTTTTTTCGTTGCTCGTGCTTCAACGCATGGAGTACCTGACTGAGCCCACACGGATTGGTGGGGCTTGACGTCGTTTTTTTTTTTTCTCCCTTTCCCCCCCTTTTCTTGTCTCTAGATGGAAAAAGGAGAGCAGTCGTCCTGCGTGTGTGTTTATTATTAGCGTCGACTTCGTTAACGACGGCTGACCAATGAAAAGACGTCAGTCCTGCGTATGTGTGAATGTATCCACCCCTGCCCCCCCCCTTGTTCTGTGTTTCGCTTTCTTTTTTTATTTTTATTTTGTTTTCGGCACCTCGCTGGGCGGAAGATAAAAGCCAAGCGTATAGTATGTACGATCAATATTAGGAAAGCATTGACACTCGCTTTTTTGCACGAGCAGGCCAAACACAGCAGCAGCAACAGCAGCAGCAGCAGTAGTGACGAGACAGGAGACGAACGAAACGTTTCTTCCCTTCTTACATGCCTGGGTAGACTGTTGACTATTTTTTCTCGATTTTTTCAGTACAGTACATGGCTGTTTTTGCATGATGACTCGGTAATTTCTTGCTGCTCGTTTATGTGTCCGGGTGCCGTGGGGCGAGGGAGAGGCCGTGGGACCCTCCTCTATAACTCCTTGCTGCGCATCTGAAACACGTGTGGGTGAGCGTGTTGTTTGATGAAAGGCACTCTCGGAACAAAAAAATTGAGAAAAGAAAGCTTTTTTGTTTTCATATCTGGTGCAAATGAGATAGTAAGCACTGCAGTGAGATGCACGATATGCATACATACGTCGAGGCATGTGAGAGCACGGGGTGGGCGTCACCTCTGTCAAAATGTGCGGAGGAGGGTTTTTATTGAAACAAACGTGATGTGCGGCGAAAGTCTTCGTCTTGAAGTTGAGCTAGGCTTAGCTGTCGTGTTGTCGAGTGGGTCCAATTTGAGTCTGTCTACACGCTCAAATGTCATGTGATGTGATGAAGCCGCGTGTGCAAGACGTTGGACAGCAGTATGGACCGGCAGCGAGCAGAGGTGAAATGCGCGTACAGTAACGAAGAACAACGAAGAAGGTCGCCATCATTCGCTTTCGTTTTTGTTGCAATTCGAAGACGATGTCATGCCTCGTAGACTTCAATTTTTTCCATTTTTTTCCTCAATTAACACTTGAGAAGTTAATGTTGTTGGTGATTGTACCCCCCAACTCACATCTCGAAAGCCTTACAATTGTAGCAGGATGCAGCGCACCCTCGATGCGACTCGCCGAATACCTCTCGGCGCATCATGCTTGCTGATGTGAGAGCCTGGTCCGGTGAGAACCCGGCGTGCTCCGTCCCGGCTTTGTAGGGATGCGAGCTCAAAAGGATGGCATGCACGACTATGATGAGTACACCCGACTAACATCACGCAGTCACGCGTGGTGGGGACCACGCTGTAGTCTACGTACGTACCTAACCCTGGGAATTTTCAACCTCTAGACGCTTCTTTCTGCACATGCATACACCACACGCAGCAGGACAAGTGCTCTTTGCGTTGGGGTGACTGGCCCCTGTCTTCCTGTCTCTTACGCGCCCCCTCCAAGCCCACCCCATGATCCATCCGTCCGCAGAATGAATGGCGTCTTTCACTTCCGCGCTCTTGTGTCGTTATTTGATTTCAAGACTGCTGGCTCTCTTGTTTGGTCAACCGGTTAGCGCGGTTGATTGATCGTCAAACTATGTTCAGACGTACGCGTGACTGCTGTCTACACTCGCTAAGATAGATGCATTATTATCATCCGCTTCGCTGCATCTCATGTCAAGGGCAGGGAAGACAGTTAGTTATCGTTTCGAGGACAAAAACACAACAACCCGAAGATGAGCACACATTGATGGCTGTTTAGACTACTTATATTATCGGAGAGCAATCATCGCGTTCTCCGCATGGATGGACCTCTCTTCTTCTCAGGACCTTAGGTCTTCTCTTACTACATGATATCTAAACACATGCCCATTACTCTAGGTCGTCTTCTTTACTACGTACTCCAAAAAGGGAGCTGCGTAGTGCAGAAGTGCTCGTAGTGCTACAGGCATGCCTTTTCCGCAATGCATGACGAAAACATGTCCTTCAAAATGGGCCTTACTTAGTCTACCAGCTATGTTCAGAAAATGAAAAAAACCTGTCCAATCAATGTTGAGGGCCGGGAGGGGGGGGTGCAGCTGCAAAGATGTCTAGTACACATCGGCGCTACACAACTGCACGCCAAGACGACGCTACCGACGCGATGCCTTTAAGTCGTGTTTCTCTCGATGCATGAATCACGCACGCCGAGCCGACTGGCGCCGAAAAAAACATTCCTCTCTACATCAACCCCCTCCCATCCTCGTCCACCCCACCCTCGACTTCCCTCCCTTTCGCTGTGCCCCCCGCGAGTTCTCGTCGCACTACCAGTCTACTTGCTGCGCGAACAGAGCTCGTCCAATGAATGATCGGTTGCCGCTAGAATAGGTGTCCCTTGCACCGAATCACATTGCCATTTCTGTGTATGTGGGGGGTTCCTTCAAGAACAAGACGACCTCGTGGGCAAGCTAAGCTCCCAACGCAACACGCTTGTTTTACTCGCGCCAATAATATCAAAAATTGTAGAGTATTCACAGGCAGGCACTCTCTGCTGAAAAAAAAGAAAGACTTCCAACGAGATCATGCCTCACGACAAACAAACCTACACACCATACGTCAATCCACCCCTTCCCCCCCCACACTCTCTCCCTCTCTCTACTGAGGCCAGCCCAATGCCAAAATCCCTGGTGTCTCCAGGTAGATGTATGAATACACGGATACACCATAACACGGGCGCGCGCCAAGGGGGATCTACATGTCACAAAATATAAAAAACAGGTGGGGGGAGAGGCGGGGGCCCTGCGGTGGCGTACCGGGGGGCGGATTACACCGGTCAACCAATCCGCGAAAGGGAACAAACAGCTTGACGTCCCTGTGACCGTCCGTGCCCGTCGCATAACGGGGTCTTTGGCGCAGCATGTCAGCACCAAAGCCGTGCGTCGGAGAGAACATCATTGCTGTACTTGGCGTCGGTGGCAGACCACAAATAAATAAACTGCTTCGCTCGCCGCACCGCCGTCTAACACCTGGTACGGGGTTCGTATTTCCACGCGCGCAGGAGGGTGGGGGGGGGGGGGGGGGTCCGGAAAAAAAAAACCGGAACCCAGGGGAATGGGATGGGTCATCAGTCGAGGGCTTCCGCAATTAATCTCGTTGAAGCTCGACATCATAAACGTATGCAAGCTCGAGGGTGCGTGCCGCACAAAAAACCATCCCATCCGTTATTTCTACCCCAATGTTCAGCATCTCGTACGTACTATTTTCAATACTCTCGAAGCCTCCAAGGCGTTTCAAGTTGTGGCCTCCGCTGTGCGGGAAAACGTTCAAGAGACGTACAGTATCCCCCTCGACCCAATTCTCAAAACCTCGGTCGTTTGCTCCAGAACAACGAGGGTGCCAGTTCCGCATGGGGCTGTCTCGTTGTCGTTGTCTCCCCACGTAAAAACAAACATTCCGATCTCAGCCCCAGCAACTTGGGAGAGCACCGGTACTGGTCCAAATGATGCAGAAGAGTTCCCTGTGATCACAGGCCAACAACACCCCCAAAACGAGCACACACACTGCAAACACAAAACCATCGACGAAAACCATGATGTGGACGCGTTCCGTGGCTACACACTTCCAGGAAAACCCGCAGAGGCCACGAGAAGGATCGGATCCAAAAAATACACACAAATTCGACCGTTGATATTTTGTCGAGAGAGATTCATCTCCTCAGACGTTTTGGTTGATTTCCACAGCCCTTGATTTATTCTAGTTTTATCAATCGAGTTGATATTTTCTCGAGAGATTTATCGCCTCAGACGTTTCGGTTGATTTCCACAGCCCTTGATTTGTTCTAGTTTTATCAAAATCGAGTTTTCCGCGATTTGGCCGTAAGGAGGTGCGATATCTCTCCGACTGTCAGGTTACCACAGCACACACACACACACGGTGATGATGCGAATTTTCAGCCTGTCCCACCTTTTGCTGTTGGGCGCTGTCATCATCTTCTGCCCTCACGCAACGATACTGACGTCATCACGGCTCCACGGCGAAGAAAGCAGCCCGGTCACAGGCGCCCCGCCCTTGACGTCACGGCTCCACGGAGAGGACAGCATCCCCGCCACGGGCACGCCGCCGTCACGGACCCAAGGTGAAGACAACATCCCTCCCCAGGGCGCCCCGTCAGTGAGGTCACGGATCCAGGGAGACGACAGCATTCCCGCCACAGGCGCGCCGCCGCTGGCGTCGCGAGTCCACGGCGAAGACAACAGCCCTGTCACAGGCGCGCCGCCATGGAGGTCACGGGTCCAAGCCTTGGACAACATCCCGCCGTCAGTATCATCGCTGCGAGTCCAAGCCTTGGACAGCATCCCGCCTTCAGCACCGTCCGAACGAGTCCAAGCCTTGGACAACATCCCGCCTTCAGCATCGTCCGTACGAGTCCAAGCCTTGGACAACATCCCGCCTTCAGCATCGTCCGAACGAGTCCAAGCCTTGGACAACATCCCGCCTTCAGCATCGTCCGTACGAGTCCAAGCCTTTGAAAGCATTCCGCCTTCAGCACCGTCCGTACGAGTCCAAGCCTTGGACAACATCCCGCCTTCAGCATCGTCCGTACGAGTCCAAGCCTTGGACAACATCCCGCCTTCAGCATCGTCCGTACGAGTCCAAGCCTTGGACAACATCCCGCCTTCAGCATCGTCCGAACGAGTCCAAGCCTTGGACAACATCCCGCCTTCAGCATCGTCCGAACGAGCCCAAGCCTTGGACAACATTCCGCCTTCAGCACCGTCCGAACGAGTCCAAGCCTTGGACAACATCCCGCCTTCAGCATCGTCCGAACGAGTCCAAGCCTTGGACAACATCCCGCCTTCAGCATCGTCCGAACGAGTCCAAGCCGTGGACAACATCCCGCCTTCAGCATCGTCCGAACGAGTCCAAGCCTTGGACAACATTCCACCTTCAGCATCGTCCGTACGAGTCCAAGCCTTGGACAGCATCCCACTTTGTACTCCGTTAGTCCGGGTCCAAGCCTTGGACAACATTCCACCTTCAGCATCGTCCGTACGAGTCCAAGCCTTGGACAACATCCCGCCTTCAGCATCGTCCGAACGAGTCCAAGCCTTGGACAGCATCCCACTTTGTACTCCGTTAGTCCGGGTCCACGGAGCGTTAGAAAGCATACCCTGTTACGAAGCAACATGATGAGTGCGCGTTTTTCGTCAATTTGTTTTTTCTTCTGCCGTAAACCTTTCGGCTTGTCTGTACCAACATACCTATTGGATACAAGAGCATGCACGTGCGCGGAAAAGGGCCGGGACAAATCGATGGTGACAGAATGAATTGACTCTGGCAGGGACATCTCAGGTACTGAATACAGGCGGAATTTTTGTCCCGATGGAAAAGGATGACCTCCTACAGAAGGATCGCAGCTATGTAGCTCTTCGGTTGGAAAGGCGCGGCCGTCATGTACGCATGTGAGAAGGAGCCCCAGCTGTTGAAGAGCAGGTCTTAGGGTAAAGACAGAGGTACGGTCGCTTGATGTCTTGTCTCCACGATTGTGTAGAAATGAGATGTTGCTTGAGAGCGAGGAAGGTCTGATTAAGGTGGGGATACACCTTGCAACTAGGGGGTACGCAGATAGCTGAGTCCTGATGTGGTATGGTCCCTCAAAGGTACACCACCCGGCCATCCGCATCCTATTGTAGACAAAGATGTACCCTATCTAGGCCCTACAGCAACACTCCTTCACAGATGCATACATCGGATAAGCGAAAAATGAACAACAGCAAGCAACGTTTTATTGGGGTGTCCGTCCCATCTACTATTCTTGAGCCAGTTCACACACGTTTCGGTGTAGATGTTTGGCGCATCATTCGGGCTCAACATAAGGAGCTTCTGATTTTGTGAGTTTGTTTTAAGCCCCATTTTTCCTACCTACGGTGCTTGCCGATGTACCTCTGTAGTTTCCATCGGGAGAAGTTTCAGCCGTACAATATGTTCCCCCCGTCGATCGTCAAGTCGAAGTGTGTAGACTCACCCACCTACCTTAAACACATTTCCGCCGAACCTGCAACTTTTTCTTTCCAGAGAGAACAGTAGTTGTTATTAATGAGGGGCCGCCTTCGCGGGAAATTAAGTATGACGAGGAAGTAGAACAACGCGGGGGACTGGGACTGGAACTAAGTAGGTTTGGGAGGTTACACTACCGTAAGGGCGATCGGTTCCAAAGTGGTACAGAAAAAAAAGAGGGGATCGCTGCCCCGTGAATGCACCTCAGCGCCCTCCACCACGGCGTCTTTACACCTACGTACTTCTCAGCAAGTACCAACAGCGATACGTAGCGCGGGGATACAAGAAAACACTCATAGCACACCGCAGCACCACAACTCTCTGGGTGAAAGAACGAGAGACAACCAACTCCGGGCCAACTCATCGGGCTGTTTGGTGTGGGGTATCTATGCGGCATGGGCTGTATGGTACATACGCGTACAAGAGTTGGAAGAATATTTCGGTTCTGAGGTGGTAAAAGATGAGGCTGCCCGTCTCGATCAAGGTAATCCCCAACCAACAGCTACGTAGCTTCCCATCCATTTTCGCCACAACAGCTTCGTTCTTGGCGGACTTTTCTCTTTCACATCCCCGCCCACATCCAGTCTATATATCTCCGCATCCAGCTGTCTCCGTCCTGTCTCTCTGACCAGCTCAACCGGCGGGTGTCAGACTTCGATATGATACTACTGCGGACCGTTTGTTCGGTCGGGTTGAAAAAAAGGTTCAACAAGCAAGGTGCTTGCTGCCTTTCGGCTGTCACTGACCAACAAACTTTCTGATCCGACGAGCTGTTGCTGCCGACTTACGGGTGCCGAGTCGTCGATCGTCCACGGAGCCGAGCCCAGCATGCCCTTGAAAGCCCCGCCCCCGCCGGAAGACCTTACTCCTCCCTTCTGTTCCATTTCCGTAGATCTCGCCCACGGCGAAGTGAGCAGCAAGGATGCGATATCCTCCAACTTGGGCGACGACGCGTCGACAGCACCCGCCGCAGTAGGAGGCGAGGCAACTTTGCCTAACGATCCGACCGCCACCGCACTCGAACGAACCCAAGGGGCCGAGGCCAACATCGAAGCGCCGTAGTGGTCGGCTTCCGCAACGTCGCGGAGCCAGGGGGTGCTCAGGAGGCCGACGCCTTGGGGAGACGGCTGAGCGGCGCCGGCGGCGAGGGAGGTCCGGGGGGTATTAGCATCGCCGGCGGATGCCGCCACCGCCGTTGCTGCCGTCAGCAACGTCGCCGCTCGAAACAAGGCCATAGCGGCAGAGGAGGAGATACTTACACCGTGAAGCAACGCCCTATCTGGCGAAGGGGAGTGCGTGAGCACGGCAGTAACAGGAGGTTCGAGAGTGTTGTGGTGTGGACTGTGGAGAGGCGAACGGAAAATTCATCATCATCTTCCCTTCTCGTTCTCTGGTGATTTGAATTTTCCCCGCATTAATTATTTTTTGGAAAAAAAATAAAATAGCGAAGGATCACGGACGCAAACACACCATGTACCTACCGCTGTCACCATAACTAAATATCGATAGCTCCTTGTTGATTACATCAGTACTGGTCCAGCTGACGCGACGGCTTACAAGTGCACAGGAGTGATAGACCACAACGTTTGTTCATCACCATGTTTTTTCCGAACCCCGCGCCCCGTTCATCAGCAGGTCGTTCGAATGCATCCAAATAATACGAAAACTTGATCTCCTATTTTTGATATCCCAACATCCCAACCTGCTCTCCCGCGGTGTCTCCCGTGTAGGTTACAATAGAGGCGTCCTCTTTCGGTCGCACAGCGGCAGTGGGAGAGCAAGCGCCGACGGTGCGCGCCGCGAGCTATGGTCTTGCGCCTGTGAGCACTCCGCTTTCTTTTTTTGTGCATAACTGCTGTGACGCAACAACCGTGAGGTTTACGGCCTCCGTCTCGACACTCGACACCTCAAGCACAGCGGCAGCAACAGCACAGCAATGCGGGCGAGAGACGCCGGAGTGTCAGTCGTGGCCGTGGTTGCGGGCTTCCTTGCATTACAGGGTACGCCTGATGTCGACATTCAGCTACGCTGGTAAGTCGGTGCCCATATACACTACCCCGTTATGCGCTGCCGGTGCTCCCCTGGTACATACTGCTGTAGACACGGTGTATCATATGCATATGGGTGAGAGAGCGAAAGAGAGCCAGTCCCAACACTGCACACAAGATGCATGCAAAACTGCGTCCCCTTTTGTGGCAGTTGCAGCAGCTGCACACGCCCAGCAAATTCACCTTCGTGTCGGGCCAGCCCATGGCGTACATCGATTCCCTTGTGTGTGAAGAGCCGATCTTCCTGATGTCGTTGAAGCGTGCTCATTTTCACGAGTATGTATTGGTCACGTTCCCTACTCCTTACCGTTACCGTCCATGAGATAAGTCTATGATTGTATGTGAAGTAGCGTTGACCGCGGTACATACCGGCTGACGACCGTGTGTATGTCTATGTGAAACCTAACCACCACCGACCGCGCTTGCAGCTTGCCAATGAAAATACCTCGGTTTTATCGAGAAGAAAACCCTTTTCTATTATAGTCCGCGAGCTCCCCGTCAGGAAGGGTCCCCTTTGCTTGCGTGTTTTGTGTGGCATGTTTATTTTGAAGCAGCATTGACCCACCAACCGGCTGATCCAAGGTGTGTGTAGGTGCCGTCGCCTGTAGTGTGCATGAACGTAGGGTTTGGAGGCTTTCGTCTCGAAGAAGTATGTAGCTTGTGCCGACAAAGAAAACAACATAAACATCAACATCAAGCCCTGGACGAAAGAGTTTGCACACCAATGCCGTTGCTCTTTCTCTTGGTTTGCTTGCCTTTTGCACATCACCCCCCCCCCCCCCCCCCTCCCCCGGATGCCCAAACCCCCTGGGCCCCCCCAAGGAAGAAGGGGGGGGAACCCCCCCTCCCCGGAAAAGGGGGCCTTTCCGGCCCCTTTCCCCTCCTCACCCACCTGGATGGAAAACGGAAAAAACAAGTGGTGGTGCTAACAAAAAGGGGGATTTTTATTCCAATGGTTTTCGTACCCGTAACCTCCGGAAAAAAACTGGTAAAAAATTTTATGAGGGGATCCATTTCCTCCCTACCCCCTCCCCCCCGGGTTCTCACTAACCCCTAAAAACTCCCCGGCCCAAGGGGTGCCCTTTATGTTTCCAACCAAGGCCCCCGCAAAACCAAAAAAAAAAAATAATATTATGGGACAACCGTGAATTTGTTTTTCTTTTACTGGTATCTACAAATGGGGCGAATGGGTCCCTGCTGTTTTCTTTGAAACACCCTGGGCCACAACCCTGGTATGTAAACAGGGACCTTTTA